ATGGTGGAACGTATTTTATTGGTATAGTGTACTTTATGTGGTGGTGCCCGCTTCAACTTGCTCGGGCCACATCATCACATCATCTTGATTAAAGTTAGTAAACATTATTACCTCCAGATTTTATAGTATCGCACGATTATACTCTAATTACTTAGTTGCATGTTGCAAGGATTCTCCCGGTAAAAGCTGCGACAAAACCCCTTCACTTTGCATGCTAAAATCGAGCAAAATTTTACAGAAATACAACGACGACAACTCACTACGTCATATCACCCAGTTTATCTGTAATCATCCCAGCTGACGCCGTAAAAAATAATGGATATTACACCAATAAAAGGAGCAGGGACTCTTTGCGCCTTCTTTGGGAGTATAGATTGCTAAACTGATACAAGCACGCACGCCCCATTTAACCATTTTCACGTGAAATGTCTTCAGTTTCACTAGCATCAGAAGAAGTGGGTTCTTCATAATTGACCAACATATTCACGTGGTCATGATTGCATTTCAATAAAAATGCCCTCACGCCGTAGCAAATGAAAGCCCTCTTCATGTAAGGCGTCTTAGCTTAGCGTTTCTCATAGCTGTTCATATAACCACACGGATAAAGGTCCCCCTGTCAGCCCTGCTTGGATACTTTTTTGAATGTGTCTGAATTTTTAATGTCACACAAATATTTAGGTATATACCGATAAGAAAAGCTTTTATTTTTTTCTTTTCACAACTTTATTGGGTGCTCCTTGCCTCTAGGGTATACAATATAAATTTATAATACAACACAAAAAAGAAAGAAAAGAAAAGAAAAAAAAAAAAAAAAAAGAAAAAACCCAAAAGGGGGAGGGGAAAAAGGACTAACGTTTAATGCGAGGCACCGCAAATAAAAACCCCAAACTCTTTCACAGTAAATTATAGTCCCTATATCGTAAAGGAATCAACAAAGAAGAGCACTGCTTTCTAAAAAAAAAAAAAAAAAAAAAAAAAAAAAAAAAAAAAAAAAAAAAAAAGAAGCAAAAACCCAAAAGGGGTAGGTGCAACGGGACTAACGTCTCATGCGAGGCACCGCAAATCAAATCCCGAAGAGCTTCCAAGGTAAATTATAGCTCCTATAGCGTAAAGGATTCAACAAGTACGTGACCTGCTTGATTGTTTCCTAGTTTTAATGCTCACAGCTGTGCTCAGTTCGAGTGTCTGGCCAAAGTAGTTCAACCAACAAGTTAGGTAACCAGTTGAACCCATTGCGTATTGCTCCTTATGTTTAGTATCGAAAGTGTGAACATTTTTAAAGCCCATTACATATAAGAGATGCAGTCCGGTTTTAACGTATATGAAAAGTACGGTGAGAATTACCAAACATGTCATGATCAGCAGCAACCGCATCGAAAACGCAGCCAAAAAAATTAGATAGCTAGGTATTTGTTTTTTAGATTCGTAAGGTAGGTTACCTATGGCAACTCCTCTTGTACTTGCAAATTAATTAATATGTAGTGGTTATCATGATAAGGGAGCAGATTAAAATGTTAAAAAAGTGCAAACAGCGCTTCCCAATCCGTTACCATGGGTTCAATGCAGTTCACGGAATATTATGCAGTGATAATCGAAATTTAAAGGAGAGCGGATTTTTCGGCGATAAAATATTCTGAGTTGCGCTAGTTTATATGCTTGAAATCTTGTCCAGGTGCCACATTGTTCACGTGCCATTCCGATTCGTTTAATGCGACAGTTGTTGTATGTAAGCAATATGGGTCCAGTACTTCCTCCTGAGGCTAAGCGATGCATATGGCGGCCATAATTGAAAATTTGGGCATTTTGCCACTTTTGAAAAAGCGATTGCGGAAGATTGTTGTCACAGATGGTGGTCACAAAAGTGAGGACGGCCATTGAGCAAAAGATATGCTAAAGGCATTGTCATTGGCTCGAGAAAAGCTACACTGATCTTTCATTAATGGTCTAGATGGCCGTGAGGTCATAGAGGAAGTCATAAAAAAATCTGTTAACACGCCACGACGTCACCAACCAGGAAGTTACAGGTCTGTAGCTTTTGAAGCCGGTTACTGATATTTTATGGCTAATTATTTATTGGGGGGAACGTTTATTGCATTCAAAACTTTAATAAATCATATATACGGTAGGTTGAAAGAACGAATATGAAAATAAAATTTAACGTAAAACAAGTGAACAATATGAAAGAAGAGAGAGGGAGAGAGAAACAGCGAGATACTAATTGATGTGATAAACATTATTACCACTGATTACAATTGCAAAATTTCTATTATTTTTTTAGATTTAAGGTTTATTACTACAAAAAGAAGTCCATTTTAGAAAAAGGAATAAAAAGCTGGTGAAGGAGAAATTCTACTTCTTTGCCCAAGGCATCCCGACAGAGGCATCAAGCAAGATTAGACACCTATCACTTGGAAGGAAGCATTGCATGACAAACGTTGATCTGGAAGCCGGGAAATGGGGAATTGGCCCTCAACAAGGCGCAGAGGAAGTTGAAAGTTGAAACTTCAGCTGCTGTGAAAGTTTTCATGGCTCGTACTCTTTACAAGATGTTTCAAATGCAATGTGCGGGGTATTCCCACAACACATGACGGCGAACCAGTTTTTCACACCTCGCATGTTCAGGGCGTATCATTGTGGAGGCTCCAACGCATGTATAGAGACTAACGCTGCATGCTGACTTCTTGGGCTCCACAAATAAAGAAAACATTTTTAATGAATTTTAGACATGAGTTTAATGATTCCCATGAAATAATATATTTTCCTTTACATAAAAACAGACAAACAAACAACCCCCACCCTATAAGTTATAGAAGTGTTTTCCGTGTCATTCTTTTAATTTGCAGCTAATGGGACTGGGATATATGGTTCTGATCATCCTGTTTTGATAAGCAATATTGATTGTCCTGCTTAAGACAGTGCACAGGAAAACCAGTCGGTATTTCCTATTTGCAAGACACTTCCCCCGTACCATCTCTTGATAGTCTGTCTATCCATTTTCGGTGTACCCGCAAACGATTTGATGAGTCCGTCCAGTCAAGACAGACGAAAGTTCCTGCCTTGTACGGACCCATATCACTCTCTAGCTGGTGTCAATGAATGTTGCAATTACTCGCCCTCCCCCCCCTCCCACCTCCTCTTCCCCCCCCCTCCCCAATGAGCGTATGCAATGTTTTGGTTCTCAACAAAGGGGAAACTGTCGTTACAAAAACAAAAGCAACAAAGTATCGAAGACATTGACCTGTATGACTTTCCTTTGCATTATTGCACTCAGGAACAAAAAGGTAGCCATAGTTTTCTTCGATCGTTTGACAATGGAAATGACCGTTATTGTCAAGAAAGGTTGTTGAGATCAAGAAATTTTGATACCACGGTTAAGTGACCTCACACTTCTCCTCTCTTTACTATAAAACAGACGGCTCTTCGATAAAAATTTTCTTGGCGGGAAGACACACCAAGGCAAAGTTAAAGTCTTCATGGATGACCGGATGTTAAGCCCTACACTATGGATATTCAAGTCAAGGAAAATAATTACAAAAACTTGTCAATTCTGGGCAGTTTGTATCGCAAGCCCAATTTTTAAGTCAAGGAAAATAATCACGACAAAAGTTGTCTAGGATTTGTATGGCAAACTCAATTTTATTAAAACATGACACGCAATTGTTCAGATACATCCTGATGTTCATTAAATTGGTTTAACACACGCACTCAGTACACACTGTGTAATTTTGATTTAGATAAGCAGTTATGTTACCTAGTAACAATAGTGTAGTAGTTTTTTTTCTAAAATATTAACAGTTCCAGGGGAAGCGAAGTAATATGGGGGGGAGGGGGGGCGGGAGTATTTTACGATTAGTGGGCAGGTGTAACAGCCTGTTAGATGGAAATTCAGGTTGGAACAATAAAATCATATTTTTTTGCTCTTACTCATGTCTTTCGGTTCTTTTTCTGATGCTACGATCATTAAAAAATACTTTCTTTGGATGTTGATGGAGTAAAAGGCAATTAATGATCGCCTGTAATAAACTGTTTCATCCCTTGATACGAAGCCTTTGGGAAAAATTGGCTTCTTGTTTCGTACATGCATATTGCATGCATGGAGCTGGTAATTGGGTACCGGTATCACTTAAAACGTACTTCGCCAGAGGTTTTGCTCAACCTCATGGCAGTCTTTTCGCCCTATAGTGATTTCAATACAGTAATCAGTTTCAAACAATAAAATACATTTTGGAACCTCAAGCGCCTGCGATTTGACAAAAACGAATCACCTGCTGTGGGAACAAAAGTTCATAACAAGAAACCTTACTGGCTCGTGTACCCTGAGATCACGTAAAAATTTTGTTCCATTAGATCATACGAGTTCTCGCAGTCACGACGAGTTAGGAGGTATAACAAACACTTATAGTGACTGGTTCCACGAAAAACAGATTATTTTACCGTATCTTATCACTCGGACCTTAAATGTTCCTCTCCGCTGTCCTTAGAGAACATCCAGAAATGAAAACACGGTGTTTCCCTAGCAGCCTTTCATCAAGTAATCAATTTAACACACGACACACTTAATTTCTCTAGAAGTAGCTCGTTTTTGAATGCTTGATTCGTCAAGACAAAACCCCTGGATGTTATTTTTGTGGCTATGGTAAAATGTTGCGTCTTTTACTGTGAAACTCATAAAAACGGGAACACCAGAAATATTTATTGAATGTTATTGTGTTGCAAGGAAATAACCAATAAGGCATTAGAAAACTAAACCGCAAACAGTAACGGTAATTTAGTAGTTTGTGGTCTTGAGGTTTGCTCACGTGTCCTGAATATGTGATTGCTCACCACCCAATCAACATCCCTGAAATTTTTCATTTGTTTACGGTTTTCTGAGATTCACAGTAAGCGTTATTATTTACTAAAAAAAGCACACAATTCACGATTTTTTCCGTGACTCTTGGTTACGCCTCAATATCAACAATCACGCTTTGGTCGCCAATATATTTCATAAAATCGTCCTGTTCAGCTTCCACGCATGCTCTGTAGCCCTCTCGGTGGTAAGCCTCAAACATTCGAGGCGTAAAGAACTGGTTGGCTGTGATATGCTGGGGGAAGATGTTACAACAGAAGTTGGACACTCCACAGCACGGGTGACCATGGCAACACTTGCAGCAACAGAAGGTCAACTTGTTGACGTCACCCTCACTGAGAACCATACCATTCCCTTGT